GGGGCTCCCGCGCAGGCCGGGAGCTCGCGCGCACGCCGCCGGTCAACTTACTGGAATTTTAATTGAAATTGTGTTGAATCTAGATGAAAGTTTTGAGAAATGACATCTTAGCAATATTGAGCCTTTCTATCAATGAATATTTAATCTCTCTCCATTTGTTTAAATTTTGATTTCTTTCATAAGCATCTTGTTCTTTTTCTAATATTGATTTCATATTTATTAGATTTATACCTAATTTTTTTTTTGTATTCTAGTGTAATAGTGTTATGTTTATAATTTAAAATTCTAATTGTTCATTTCCAGTATAAAGAGTTGTCCTGTATCTGTTAACTTTGTATCCTGTAACTTTACTGTAGCCACTTATTTCCATATGTATTTTTAGTTTTTAGTAAAACTAGCAGAGGTAGCATCTTCGCTTTTGATACTATTTGTGAAGCAATTAAAATGCTTTCATTTCTTTTTTTCTTTGTAGGGAATGTCTGGGGAAGCATGAGGTGAGCTCTTATAGGCATAATTTTTAATGTTCATAATTTATAACTTCTATTTTAGAGTTGTTGGAAATAAAGTTTCAATATTGTATTTCAGTGTTACAGAGTACAAAGGTTTGTCTACTAATTTTAAAAAGTACAATGTTTTTATTTGAGAATTATCCTCTTTATTCATTATATGTACTTATATTAAATTTCTCTTTTAGTAGTATAATGTTTTGCTTCTTGGCATGTATGTTTTTGGGAAATTTTTGATAGGTTTCTTTGGTTTTAACAATAAATATTAATGAAAGCATTTTAGACTTTTGTGAAATTTGTTCTGAAATGATAGCAGATGCATCTTGCAAACAGATGTCCAGATGGTTGTGTGTGTCTCTGTGTGTGTCTCTGTATGTGTGTGTCTTTGTGTGTCACCGTGTGTGTGTGTGTCTTTCACTAATTTCCTTTTTTTTTTAAGGTGAGTCCCCTACCATGCCATGCTGTAGGGCCCTACTCCTGTAAGAGAGTTTGTGGAAGAATCTTAGATTGTCAGAATCATACTTGTTTGAAAGAATGCCACAAGATAACTGAAGTTGATGCCTACTGTAACAAAAACAAGGTAATATTCTTATGTTGAGTGAATTTATACAGACAGTATGCTTAAAACATTGTTTTCAACAATTAGATAATAAAATTTGTTTTTCATTTTGCTTTAGTTTTTGTCTTGCCCTCCTTCCTTCTTCCTTCTCTTTCCTGAGACACCAGACTTTGTAACAGCTTGAAATGTGTTGCTCTGTGTCTTTGTGACACCTCATAGTAACAATGTGCCTTTTAATATGTAACTCTTTTTTTTTTTGGTATCGGGGATTGAACTTGGGTCCTTGCGCTTGCAAGGCAGGCCTCCGAACCGCTGAGCTAAATCCCTGGCCCAATATGGAAGTCTTTATATCCTGTACCCGTGTTAATACATGGGATATGATTTTATAACAAAAATGCAGAAAATATGTATCTTTTTAGGTAGTAACAGTGACACATCTGTTCCTTTCCATATTTCTGACTTTAGTCAAAACATTTGCTCTCAGCTATTTTTCACACCAGAAACATGTGATAAATGATCTTCACAATTTTAATAAAGCCTCAGTCTTCTGTTAAAAATAAGTACCACATACCATATGTGTGGGGTACATATGTATATAGAACTCACTAAAAGCATTTTATAAGCACATGAAAAATGAGCACTTCAGAGATCTCTAAAAATTTTGGAATTTTACAAGAAGCAAGTATAGCTAATCAAAGATTAAATAATAAACATTATTTTTAAATGAATTAGTGTTTTTTCCTATACTTTCATCTAATAAGAAAGCATATTAGCAAATATCTTAATGAGGACCAAACCAGACATTTTAAGCTTCATTTTTTTATTAAGCAATAATAAATTTATAGATGAGTTTGTTATTGAAAATTTTATTTACATTGTTAGGTCTTTTAATTGGTAAAGTAACACATGACATAAATGCATGGAACGTCATTCTTGTTTATGTACAAGTTACACCTGTAAGTATATTTTTTATAATTTATTCATTGATCCATGCTTTGATCCTCAATAAAAATTTACACATAATATAATGAAAAAGATATTGGAATTATAAAATTAATCTAGCAAATAGTGAAAGAAATTAAAGGTACTTTAGTTAGGGGATAAATGCTTTATAGTTTTCTTCCTTAGATTTTCAGAATCTAAATAATAAATGAATCAGGTTTCTTTTTTTTTAATGAGAACTACATGAGATGCTATATTCCCAATTAAGATAGTCTTTCCTAAAAGACAGAATTTGATATTGGAAATAATCCAGAAAGATAGTTTAACAAATGTTAATGTAAATCTTTTTTTCATAGCTGGAATAAGCTCCTAAGTGTACTTTTTTTTTTGGTACTGTGGATTGAACTTGGGACCTTGTGCTTGTGAGGCAGGTGCAGAACCACTGAGCTAGATCCCTAGCCCTGTGCTTTTTTGTATGTGGAGAATTGAAGCTTAATTTCATCAAATGACTTGTCTGTGATCATAAAATAGTAGTATCCCTATTTCTTACCTCCCAGTCTGATAACTCATGTTACTTAGATGATTATTGTAGGTAGGTATAACCACATAGTCAGACAGAGCAAACGAAATAGTGTGTATGTGTTAACTTTGGTTATGTTTCCATGTTTTGTGGTTCATTGCCCGCTCCTTTCCCAGTCTTTCCCCTTTCAATAAGTTGTATTGCAATTTCTGCCCAGTTGCACAGGTCATTTTTACTCAGTTGCATAGGAATTATGTTTGATTTTTTTAAATCTTCATTGTTCTTGTTCTGTAAAAAGTCCTGTTAGCTTTATGTTCAAAGTAGATCCTGAATCTGATCACTTCTCATAACCTCTATTATTAATATCCTCATCTCAGCTGCCATCATCTCTTACTTACTTTTTCTTAGTATTTTCTCAACTAACCTTCCATTTCCAAATCAGCCAGATTTATCTTTTTAAAAATGTCAGTCAGGTAACATTTCCCAGCTTACGATCCTTTAATAGCTTTCAGTAACTCTCAGAGTAAAATCCAAAGATCTTTAACTATTGCCCATGAGGCTCTGTAACATTCTGAAGTCTAACTGCTTTTCCCAGCTCTCTTCTGACTACTTACCTCTCTTGCTTGCCCACTTCTATTTCTGCTCCTGCTGCTTTTTGAGTGTTCTAAGTTTGTTACCTCATAGCCTTTGCACTTATTATTTCTTTTCTCTGGATGTCTGCATTCAAGAAATCTACATACCATTGGTGTACTTGCTTAATTCAGTTTCTTTTGAAATCTGAACTTGATCAGGCAGGTTTCACACTTGTTCTGCCGTCCTACTTTCTTAATACTTTTTATCTTTTCCTTATAGTACTTACAAAGACATATCTTATGTTCTTTATTTCCCTGTGTAAATTCCAGGGATCATTCTTATCTATTCCCAGTGCTTGGAATGGCAAATAAATGCTGAATAAATACAGAGTGCGTGAATATACTCTTTGAATATAAAGAGATTAAAATTATAGGAGATTTTTTAATAGTTAGAAACACTTTTTCTTTTTAATCTTAAATGTCAAATAGCTTAGACATTTATGAATATAATTATTGTTATAAAAATGGCTGTACTTAGGAATGATAATAAAAATGCTGAACCTTTAACACTTAGTATCTATATCTATAGCTCTCATACGTTTTATCTGAAGTATTCCATGTGAAAATAAACAATACAGTATCCTGTGATAAACATCTTTAACATTCTTTGGTAGATTGCTGATACTAGTTACATTATCAAATCACTAGAGCAGAGAGTTGCCCTGTTAAATTACACTGAAGTATATTTGTGAATATAACTATAGTTTATTAATTTGCATTATTTGTTAACAGTGTGATGATTTTTTTGGCAGTACTGGGAATTGAACATTGGTGCTCTTGCATATCAGACAAGTGCTGTACCAAGAGCTGCATTTTCAGTTTTTTTTTCCCACTTTATATGTAGAGGTACGATCTTGCAAAGATACCCAGGTTGGCACTGAATGTATAATCCTATTGCTTCTGTCCTCTAAGCTGGGATTACAGGTGTGTGCCACCACACCCAGTGATTTTTTTTTTTAAGGTCCATTGTGATTGTGCTTGTTGGGTGGAAATGAATCAAGAATATTTCACTTTTTATTTTTTCTGCCACTGGATATTTTTTAGGTAGTAATTTTTTTTTTTAGTAGTTTTACTTCATCTAGTTAAATTTTAAAGATGAGGTTTATAGGCACAAAATCTGTATGGATAATGGCCATATTGATATTCTTAAAATTCTTTATCTTGAGTATTGTTAAGATGAATGGGAGCACATACCATTTTATGACATCATTTTAATGAGATATCTAACTTTTGTAACTTTAATGTGTAGAAATGTTAGGCTTCAGTACTGAAGTGATTTATCCCACACGACTTTGCAGGCTGGCCCAGAATGCCTTCGTTGTGAAGAAGGGTGCTCTAAATCACAGCCGTTGGGCTGCCCTCATCCATGTGTCTTGCCATGTCACCCTGGAGAATGTCCTCCTTGTGTTCAGATGCTTAGGATAAAATGTCATTGCAAGATCACAAGCCTGTATGTGGAATGTAGGTAAGTGGATTGATAAAACATGGTTTACTAAGGTATTTTCTTGGTGTCTTCTTATAATTCAGAGTACTTTATAGTAATCTTTAAGAAATGTTGTTCAGTTTTGTTGCAAAAACTCTGTGGGCCTTGATTTTTCCATAGAGACCTGAATGAAGAAATGTAGACTAGGTACTTCACTATTGTTGCAACCAGGAAAGTTCTATTTCACTCCATTTGGGGATTTTTGTTAGGTAAAAGTTTTACCATTGCTTTAAAAAAAAAAGAGAGAAAAACACCGTGATAACAGATTGTTCAAATGATGGTATTAAGCTAGAATTTGATCAAAATTTGACTTGTTTGTGGTTTCTTAGGCATAATTTAAAAATTATGTATTTAAAAGGTAGGCCTTTTATTATAAATCTTTTTATAGTATTCATCATATTAGGATATGACTTGCATAGAATTCTTTAGTTGGAAAATACACATTTTTCCTTGTGGCTTATTTCCATTGTTTCCCATTTAATAATGACCTACCAAAATTTACCATTTCTTTCTCTCAGCTGTATATTAATACTTCTGTAAATAGGCTTTTCATTAGTATATTTTGTGTAAGTTAAATCTAAGAATATGACTTGGCTTCATTTTTTAAGCATAAATATATCTTGAAAAATGCTTGTTAAATTTAAAATTTAATAGTGTCTGAAATTTTTGTCACTTAATATTCTAGACTCATGGTTTGTAAATTCTAAAAGCCAGTATTTATATTCAAACATTTACAGAAAGGCAAACTTGGTGAGATGGAGAAGAGGATTAAGGGTGGGTGGAGGAGGGAGAATAGGGAATGGGGGTAAGGAGATAAAAAAAAATCAAGTTTTGCTTTAACCATATACCAGTCTCCCCAAATAAATGTAACTATGATGTATTGCAAATGTACACTAATTAAAATATGTTTAGATTGCTTTGTTGAAATGTTAGGAATAAAATGTTGTGGTTTTTAGTTTTAGAAGTTTTGTAGGAGGAGTAAGATAATTTTGCATTATGAATGGGAGATAATGATGCAAGGTTAAACACGTCATCTTATACCTGTGTTCTTTTTTATTTTATAAAGTTTTCCTCATTAAACTTTCATCTGCTACTTTCAGCATCCATTGATGATTCTGGTGTAAATCAGTTGTTAAGATGAAAGTGCCAAATGGCAGTTTTCTAGCTTTTTTATCGTGCTCTGCATATATTAGTGAGCCTTTTACTCTAAGGAGTAGGTTCCCCTTCTCTTTCATTTACTAATAGTGGGCCAATGGATTTTAATTTAATCTGCTACTGTTGTTTTGTGTTTAAATTAATGAATATGAAAGGCCTAGACCCGGGTAGATCTTTAAGCTAATTTCCATGTTCCTTTAATAATTTTTGAGTGTTTTCTTTCTGGTGTAATAAAAATGTCTTTCTTATGGCACCATTTTTTGAAAACAATTTTCCTTGGAAATCATCAGTTTCATCTAGGTTTTTTAAATGAATTTCTGTAGAGGTTTGAAAGGAAGTTGCATATCATTTTTAAAAATTTCTTCTATTTTACGGTTTTTCTCTATCATTTTCAAGTTGACTATTTTTGCTTTCTCCTTCCAGGTTTTGTTTTGTTTTGAATTTTGTTTTTGGATATTTCAAAAAACAAGAATTTTGATTAAGTGGTTTAACACACTTTTTACTGCTTTAATCATCTTTTTCCTTTATAATAAACATATTTATCTGCATGCTTTCATTTTTATTGTAAGTATTTTTAAGGGTTCAACATTGCTTTATATACATTACATATATTTATATATATTCTTCATCATATTTGAGAGTCATATATCTAACTCATTTTAGATTTCCAGTAGATTTTTATCTTTTACTGGAGATACAGTATTAAAATATCATACATTTAGCTGGGCAGGGTGGCCCATGCCTGCAATCGCAGTACTTGGGAAGCTGGGCAGGAGGATTCTTTTGAGTTTGAGGCCAGCCTGAACTATATAGCAAGACCCTGTCTCAAAAAACAAAACAAAAACTTTCATATGGTTTAGTGTGTGTCTATATCTCTTTTCAAGTGCTATCATTTTCACTTTGTAAAGATGATCTGTTATATGTTGTACAGAATTCTTAACTAGTGTGGCTTAGAGCATTAAAAAGTATCCTCTTTCACATTTAATACTTCCTTGGTTTGAATTCTTTTTTGATCTCAGGTTTGCAACCACTTCTTTATTTAAATAGGCAATTTAAGTCCTTTCACAATTTTGACTTTTCATGTTTAACTTGTAACTATTTTATGATTGCTATTCATTTTATATTCTATAACTGTGTTTCTGTACCTAGTGATATGAGGGTTTTTGGTCTCATTTTAAAACTTATTTAGGAAGATTCATATTTCTGTTTAATGGTTGGTTATCTTTGTACTTATACCTTTGTAATGCCCTTAGGTACCCATTTTTTTGTCATTTAATAACTGATTTGTCCTTTTTTTTTTTTTTTTTTTGGTATTTGGGATTGAACTCGGGTCCTTGTACTTAGGAGGCAGACGGCAGAACCACTGAGCTAAATCCCTAGCCCTGATTTGTCATCTTTTAATGGTACAGTCTTGTTCATACCTATATAGGACCTACATGACAATCAGTTAAAATATTCTTGTCTGTTTTCGTCTCCCTTCTCTCATTTTTTAGATGTATTCTTTATTTTGTTTTAGAATATGTTAACATTTATATGTTCTACATTCATTCCTACCTTTGTTCCTATTTTAGATTTTCAGTTTCATATTTTCATTTTTAACCAACTGCTGAAGTTTCCCCAGTTTTCTCTGGGATGGATAAAGTATTTTCTCTAGTAGATTTCTGGATACAGTATTTCTGAGTTCTGGCATCTTTAAGATTGTTTCATGGGTTTAAAGTCCTTCCTTGTCATGTTCTTTTCTAGTTTCTTGAAAATACTGCCCTGTGTTCCTTTTCTGTATATTTTGCTATTGAGAAGTTTGATGTCAGTCTCTTTCCTTTTATATGTTAATCTTTTATTTTAATGTACTTTAGTTTTACTAAGTTGTGACTCTCAGAGTTAGTAGTTTTGTGTAATTTTTTGTCTAAATTTTTTAACGTATCTTTTTGTATTTATAGGCAGTATTTTTATTTTATTATAGTTTTCAATGAAATACTGGTTCTGTTCTGTTTACTATTTTGTTTTTTTCTTTAACATAATAGTTATGTATGTTGGTTCTTTCTCAGTTTTCCACTTCTTTTTGACATGTTTTTCTTTCTTAGCTTTGTTTAAATTTTCTCAGTTGTTTCACTTTGACACATCAAAAATCTTCATTACATATTTCTTTAAGTATTTTTTTGTATGTTTTTCATGGGTACCTTGTAGTTTGTCATTTCTGATATTTTTATCTTTTTTTTGAGGAGGGGGGTACCAGGGATTGCACTAGGGTCCTTGTGCTTGCAAGGCAGGCCACTGAACTGCTGAGCTAAGTCCCCGGCACCTGATATTTTTATCTTTAAAAATCATCTTCCTAAATTCACCTAAATTTGTGCATTTCTAATTATTTTTCTTTCTCATTTAGGTTCTTAGGTTTTGATTTTTTGATTTAAGGTAGTGGAGTATGGCAGGTGTCCAAGACCACTCTCAGATTTGGTAATTTGCTAGGAGGACTCATACATGTGTTCCAGCATACATATACTGAGTACTGCCTTCTGTTATACCAGAAGGATACAAAGCACAGTCAGCAAAGGGAAAAGGCTCTTGGGCTTAGCTCTTCTGCACAGGCAGTGTTGTTTCAGGTCCTCTAATGCTTCTTTGTCCCAGTTTCTTTCTGTTTCTATGTCTGTCTCTGTCTGTCTCCCTCTCTGTTCTACCCCTCCTTCTTCTTTTTTGCAGCGCTGGAGGGATTGAGGCCAGGACTTTTTGTACCTTAGGCAGAGTGCTCTGCCATTGAACTACATGTCCAGCCCATTTTCTTTTTCTTTGTACTATACAAATTAAATATCTTTTATATGAAATGCTTGGGACCTGAGGTATTTCAGATTTTGGAGTTCTTTGTATTTTGGAATATTTACTTGTATCAGATTTTTGGATTAGAGGTGTTCAACCAATAAAGTCTGTGTTAAACATCCCTAACCCCAAAATCTGAAATCCAAAAGCTCCTGTCAGATTTTCTAATTTGGAATACTTTATTTAAATTTTTGGATGGAATGTTGGCATACTGGCAGCATGGTGAGATAGGAAGAGATTTTCATCAGCTGGAATATTTTATTTGTCATTTTTCTGTTTATTTTCACTTTGTAGATGTAAATTACAAGTCTTCATTGTTATGGGTAGAGCTGGTTTTGTGGTGTTTGTCCCTCTCTTCTGTCTGTGTAGCAAAATATAGTTTTTGAAATACACTTCTTAGTGTGGTGTTGGGAGAAGGTGTTAAGTGTTTTTTAAAAAATTTTCTTTGGTCTTTCAGGTTTCCAAGATTCCCTTGCTCATTTTCCTCCTCATCATGTAATCTTCTTTTTTTTTTTTTTTTTTTTTTTTTTTTTTTTTTTTTTTTATTTTTGGGGTACCGGGGATAGAACTCAGGTCCTTGCACTTGCGAGC